CCCTCCGCCAAACACTAGAACACAGTTCAGCCAAGTACTTTGTCACTTTTTAACAAGGATCACCTTTCCTTCAGTTTCAGGTAACTTATCCTTCATTTTCACCTGAGATCTTACCAGAATTACCTTTAGTGTCCATGTTTTTTACCACAGGAGAGGCAGGAGACTATGGTTCGGTCCCTGGGTCGGGAAGATCCCCTGGAGGAGGGCATGGCAACCCACTCCAGTATCCTTGCATGGAGAATCCCATGGACAGAGGAGCCTGGTGGGCTGCAGCCCACGGAGTTGTAAAGAGTCGGACACAACTGAGTGACTGAGCAGATACACATTTTTACCAGCAGTCCTTTCATGGCAGCCTAGGGGTTTTTGTAGCATGTACCTCAAAACCTTTTCAGTCTCTACTCGCCATCCGGCTCCAAAGCCGCGTCCATATGTTTAGTGTTTGTTATAGCAACACCCCACTTCACAGTACCAAAATCTATATTCGTCTAGACAGTCTGCCAGAACAAAACACTGGATCAGAACCCTCTGCTCGTGACCACATGAAACCTGAATTCCTTCCTCAGAAGCTGCATCTCCAAGTACAGTCACACTTAGGGTTTCAACATATGCGTTTGCCCAGGGACACAAACATTTAATTCATAACAACCACCTGTAAAAATGTTCTTCCCAGGGGAGGGAAACTGAGGAAATGGGAGGCATGTGGGGCGTTCGGTGCCTCCTGGGGCTGGGGAGGTGGGGCAGTGTGTGTCTTTGCTCACCTGGCATTTGTTATGGAGGCTGTCTGAGGCCCATCTCTCCAGGCCTTTTGACTCAGGCTCCACCATCCCTACATGGTCATGAACAACTTCCCTAGCCTCTTGGAAGCACTATTTTCCTGCTTGATGGGGTCGTAGTGAAATTTAAGTAAATCTCATTTGTTTAATGACAACACGTTTTCATGTAGGGGAGAGCCTTCCTACTCACCATGCTCCCCAATACCCACCCCAGTCCATCCACACTGGCCTTCCTGTTCCTCCTCAAATATGCCAACCAGTCTCTATCTCAGGACCTTTGCACTCACTGTTCCTTTTGCCTCAGCACTTTTCCCCAAACATTCACAATGATTTCTATCCTCTGGTCATTGAGGTCTCTGTTCTCAAGTCCCCTATAGAATTACAGCATCCTGTCACCCTATCCCCTTATTCTGTCCATTATTACAATTTAAATCTATTTGTTCCTTTGATTTTTAAAAAATACTTATTTATTAATTTATTTGGGTGCACCGAGTCTTTCAGTAAACTCCAGGAGTTTGTGATGGACAGGGAGGCCTGGCATGCTGCGATTCATGGGGTTGCAAAGAGTCGGACACGACTGAGCGACTGAACTGAACTGAACTGAGTCTTTCATTGCGTACGGCACGCAGGATCTTCGATCTTCACTGTAGCATGTGGGATCTAGTTCCCTGACCAGGGATTGAACCAGGCCCCCTGCGTTGGAAGTCTTAGCCACTGGACCACCAAGCCCCCTAAATCTAAATGTTGTGTCCTTCCTCCCCCAGAACATGTGCTCTATAAAGGAGGGGAGACTTTGTCACCTTTGTTCATTGCTGAATCCTCAACAGGCCTGCAAGAGGATGGCAATTCTCCAGCTGCTTACAGGTGGCTGGTGGCTCTTCAAAAGCTCCTCTTCTCATCTGCACATAATGGACATATAGCACGTGTTGACTTGAATATTCAGCATAGGAATTCTGATCTAACAGTCGTCATTTATTGTCTGCTGTGTACCAGGCCCTGAAATGAGTGCCTTCTATGTATTAAATCCTGTCAGTGGGCACTAGTTGTAATCTCCGATTTACACAGCAGGAAACTGCTGCTCAGAGGGGACCGGAACCCCTCTGCATAGCCTACGCCTGTGGCTACACTGCTGCTTTGGGATTTTGGTGGTCAGAGAAACACATTCATGCCCACCGGCTGTGGAGCCTTCATACTGCCTGGGGCAGAGAATAAAGAGAATGTTTACTCCCTGGCATGAGGGTCAGATTTGTCAGGAATTACCACAGGATGCTTACAGGCAGCATTTGTTTCTGTTAAGTCTGTTCAGACCTCAGGGCCTAGAGAACTGACTCAGAGACGCATCTGTGACCCCCGAGGTTTTCTGAGAAGACCGTGGGCTGAATGGGGCCCAGGGGGGTCGGAGTGGGGGAGCAATAGGGCATGTGTTCCCATGAGGTGTGCGCTGGTATGGGGAAATTGACCAGCAAAGGTCAAGAGAGGCTCTCGGCTGGGGAGGATGGGGTCTGATTTGTGGTTTGAGAGACCCCTGTGATGGCATTGAGGAAGTGGGGGCAGACAACACCCCAGGTGGTGGGGAGGGACGGATGGGGAGAACATGGGTGCAGTGGCCATGGGCGTGGCAGCTTTGGGGGTAGTCACTCTGGCCACACTCTGGGTTACTGGTGGTCCAGGCCTGCCGGGTCCTTCTTCCCTCCCACCCCGCACTCTCCCCCAGCTCCCTGGCCAGCGCTGGGCTGAGCTGTTGTCTTTCCACCCAATGAGCCTCTCTTCCAGGGCAAGGTAGGATCTGACCCCAGGCTCCCAGGAAACAGGGTAACTGAGTGTGTGATGGTGCCGTTGGAGAGAGTAGGAGTGGCTCCAGGGAGGAACCGGGCTTGGAAGGATGGATGGAGTTTCATTAACAAGGATGGATGGAGAAGCATGGCAGCATAGGTGGAAGGAACAGCAAAGGCAAAAGCCTGGAGGCGGGAAACCCCCCAGGCCGTCTGACTGGAGCCCTGATGTGGGGCGTGGGTGTTAAGGAGGATGAGCGCTTGTATCACAGACAGAGATGCCGAGGGCCAGGAGGCTGACCAGGAGGCCGGCTTGGGGAGGCGCGGGCAGCCTGGGGCCACTGCTGCCCGCCTCCCGCAGGAAAACAGGGTCTCAGCAGTTGGGTCCGTCCCAGCAAACACGTGCAGCGTCTTTGGCAAGAGGGAGTGGATGGCACACACTCGCACGGCTGTTGGACTGTCGTTCCGAGCCAGGCCTTCCGCACGTGTCATCTTCTGAACCCATGACAGCCAGCACGTCGGGAGCACCATCAGCCCCACTTTTCCCAGCTGTCAGGCACATGACCAAGATCCAGAGTCACGTGGTGTGCAAATGCTGGCCCTCACACCTGGGTCTGAGTCCAGAGTGCTGGCCCAAGGCCCTGGCAGGGCCAGCAGATGCATAGTGAATGCTTGCCCGTGGCCCCGGTCCTGCCTGGGGTGGGGAACGGGTGAGAGCAGTGCTGCTCTGGGAGCCTGAAGATGCGGCGTGGCTCCAGCCCTCCTGGGAAGGACCGGCGAGAGGAGCGAGGTTCCCACGGGCTGAGCCCCTCGCTCTTGATACTCCCACCCCTCTCCTTGGAGCCTCAGGGCCACCCTGCCTGACCTGGGCCTCACGGCATCTCACGGCTCGGGGTGTGGCGAGGGCTGTGGCTTCTGACAAGCTGGGTTCCGGCCTGGTTTGCCCGCTCGCTGGTTAAGTGAGTGACCTTGGGAAAGAGACTTCATTTCTTTGTGTCCCATTTTTCTCATCTGGAAAATGGGGATAGTGACCCCCTGCCCGCTTACCTTATGTGAGGACAAGGTGGTCAAACCCAGGATGGGGAATAAAGAACAAGGAAGCAGAGAATTTTTAGAAAGTATCAATTTGGTACACTTGCTGCCTCTCCAAAGTAGTTAGGTGTTTTTTATACTTTCTTAGACCTCTTTGCCAGTGAGGCAGTGAGGACCCTCTCCCTGTGGCTGCATATCAGCCCTCTGAAGATGTTGTGCAGGGCTGAGATATGAAGCCGGAGGGGTCCAGCAGTCCCCGGCTGTCCCATCCCCCAGCCTTGCCTGAATCCTCTCACAGTAATAGTTTGATGGGCAGAACCTGGAAAGAGCCTGGGAGTGGCTGGGGTGGAAAGTGCTGGCCAGCGGGGCAGTGAGTGCCCCAGACTCCGTCTCTCCCTGGGGTAGGCCCGGCCCCCTCGGGGTTGTCACTGGGCGGGATCAGCTGAGCTCCGAGGTGGCATGGAGGAGGAGTCCGGCTGGCTGTTTGGATCTGGCCAGGAGCTTCCAGCTCCCGGGGGTTGGGGGGGGCCTCACCCTGGAGGTACCAGACCCCTAGCTGCTCTGCCTGCGCCTCCCTTCTCCTGAGGCACCCCCACCTTCCGTTGTCACTCTCTTCATCTCTGGAGCAGATCCCTGCGCGAATTCAGCGCCATTCACTTGCTGTGTGGCCTCGGGCCACCCCTCAGCCTCCCTGAGCCTCGGTCTCCTCTCAGCCATAATGTGGGGAATTCACGCCACCTCGCCGAGATGGTGCGGGTACCAGGCCACCACGCCTGGTGTGGTGGAGGCCAGCCAGCTTATGATGGGGGCTCCCTGAGCTTCAGTTTCCTGGTAAAATGGGGACAAAATGACACCCACCTCGAGACTTCCCTAGTGGTCCGGTGGTTAAGACTCCGTACTTCCAATGCAGGGGGCATAAGTTCGATCCCTGGTCAGGGAACTAAGATCCCATGTGGCACATGATACTGCAACAAAAAAAAAATAGATACCCACCTCCTGGCAGTGTCAGTGAGAGCCTGATACAGAGTTCCTGGCCCACGTGTGATGCTACATTGTAGCTATAGTCAGGGCCATGCTGGCATTTTCTGTGTTTCTTCTCCCTAAACTGTGCTTGCTGGTAAAGCAAGACTTTTCCCTTGAACTTGAGGGTGTCCTGTGCAGTTTGGCAGCCCCAGCCATGTGTGGGGAAGGGCGGGTGGCCTTCACGAACCCCCCTGCTTAGGGTCCAGTGGGGTTGCAGGTGTGGAGGGAGAGCTGTGTGCTGGAGGTCTGTGTGGGCCCCGAGACGGGTCACCGCCCTCAGGTACACCCCAACACCCCGTGAGATGGGGTGAGCAGGGAGTGAGGGAGCACATGGTAGGGAGGTGGGTGTGGACGGCGAACGGCCCCACTGACTTCCTGATGGATGGCGTTCTCTCCGCAGAGACTGATGGAGAGGCAGAGGCGGAAGGCGGACATCGAGAAGGGGCTGCAGTTCATTCAGTGAGTGTGTGTTTGGGGCGGCGGGGGTCGGGGGGGTGGCAGGGTGCGGTCCTCTGGGACATCCCAGAGCATGTCTTCTCCAGGGTTCCCTTTTCTCGCTTACTGAGCTTTTGCTGTTCAGGCTGCCCTGTGTGTTGGGAGTGAGAAGGAAGGGCTGGCGGGGCAGGGACCAGGGATGCTTCTAACCCTGAGCCATGATCTCCAGGCACACACACACTTCCTGACCTGACCCTGGCCACCCTCTGGTCTCATCCAGCATATCATTTTACCTTCCCCCTCCACACATGCTCCTACACTCCCTGTTAATTCTCTTGCTTGTCTGTGCACATCCCATAATAAGTCAGTTATCTTTGCTTGCTGAGCACGTCTTTCCATTCCATGCTGGGCCCTTCACATCTGTCGTCTCTCTCATCTTCACAATGGTTCAGTTAAGCAGGTGGTTTTATCTCCATTTTGCAGATGAGAAAGCTGAGGCTCAGAGAGGTTAAGAAACTGGTTTACAGTCACATAGCTACTAAGTGACGGAATTCTAACCTGGGTCTCGTGGACTCCAAATCCCAAATTTCTTTCCATTATTTGCCCCTGGTACCCATAAGCTGTGTTGGTTTTTTCATCTTTTTCTTTACACACAAAATATTCTTATTAACTCTTTTCTCTCTCTGAAATAGACCCTCACAGGCACGTTTATCGTGACTCAATGAAGCGTAAGCTCCAGCCCCTCATTTGCAAGAGTTCTTTCCAAAACCCTGAAAGACTGTCTAGCAATTCTTTGTTTCTCATTTTGTGTTCTTAAACATGACTCTCTACAAAACTGGAGTTGACACATACAAACCCTCATTGCTGTTGTTGTTTAGTAGCTCAGTTGTGTCCGACTCTTGCGACCCCGTGGACTGTTAGTCTGCCAAGTTCCTCTGTCCATGGAATTTTCCAGGCAAGAATACTGGAACGGGTTGCCATTTCTTCTTCCAGAGGAGCTTCCTGACCCAGGGATCAAACTCGTGTCTCCTGTGTGTCCTGCACTGCAGGCAGATTCTTTACCACTGAGCCACCGGAAATGCCCCACAAACCCTTATATACTCCCTGATTTTGTGCTCACACAGACCTGCAAAACGTGACCTGCCTTTTCAGCACTGGCTGGGTGTTTTTCCACACACAGACACATACACACATGATCTGCTGTGTGTTTATATTCTCACAACATGTTCTCCTTCCTCAACTTGCAAAACGGCCACTTTTCCTGGCTTCTGCCAGCTCAGAGCTGTGGCCTCACCCTTTTTCACAGGGGGCTCATCTTCCGTCTGGGGGAGTGCGTTGATCTTGGTCAAATGCCCCAGTTTTGCTCAGAGGCCATTCTGGAGAGCAAGGCAGGCCTTGGGAATCCTGAGTGTTGTAAGAATCTGTCTTCTAGTCACTGATTTCTGTGGAACCGGACCTCCAAGCCCCAGGTTTCAACCCCCATCCCGGTGCCCCTGCGTCCTGTGGTCACAGTGTCTGCGAGACGGAGAGAAGGCCCCTGCCCCCTCTGGACCGTTGTGCTTGGGGGTGAATGTTGGCTGTGTGTCCTTCTCCCCCTTCCCAGAGGGAAGCTCTGAGGAGGTTTAGCGGTGGGACCCCCTCCCAGGAAGCCACACACTGGTCTCCTGAGAGACTACGGGACGCACAGTCAGGCCTGCTCCTTTAAAAATGGCTGTTTCCTCACGTGCCGACCTTGTGTGCTTAGCTGGGCACCGAGCGCCACAGGAGCCATGAAGTGATGCGGACAGGTGGGTGACGGGCTTGTGTAGAGCCTTAAACACCAGGATAAGGTGACCTTGAGGACAGGGTGTGACCTATTGAAGATGAAGCTGAGGCTAGAGGTGGAAGATGAGTTAGGAGGAGAGTGGCGGGCAGCCAGGGCTGAGCGAGGAGGGACAGGCCCTGGTTTCTGATGGTGGGTGGCGAGTGGGAAGGTGGGTGGCCGGCCCCACTGTCACAGTCAGGGACACCTCCCCCTCCCCACAGGGGACCTCCAGGGTCTCCACTCACCACTTGTCACTCACCAGCTTAGGCTGCCTTCTTTTTTTTGACTGCTCCATGACATATGAGATCTTACTTGCCTAACCAGGAACTGAACCCCTGCCCCCTGCATTGGAAACACAGAGTCTTAACCACTGGACAACCAAGGAGGTCCCTGGGTTAGTCCCTCAGTCGTGTCCAACTCTTTGCGACCCCGTGACTGTAGACCACCAGGCTTCTCTGTCCATGGATTTCTCTAGGCAAGAATACTGGAGTGGGTTGCCATTTCCTTCTCCAGGCGATCTTCCCGACCCAGGGTTCGAACCCACATCTCCTACATTGGCAGGCGGATTCTTTACCGTCTGAGCCACCAGGAAAGTCCCTAAGCTGTTCTTTTTTGCCCGGGTATTCACAGAGGCTCCAGGCAATACAGCGAGCCCCAGCCTCGCTCTCTGGCCCTGGCTTGGACCTGCTGTGTGACCTCGGGCCTGTCACTGCCCCTCTCTGAAGGTCTGATTTCCCCTCTGTGACATGAGAGACCAGAAGACAAACCGCAGCTTCCCTTCCAGTGCTGCCTTGCAGCCTCACAAATGTACCTTGGGCTCATGCTTTCTTTCTCCTTTCTCCCTGAGGGCCCTTCCCCGCCCTTCCTTTCTTTCACACTTTCTTCTGGGCTCAGCTGTTCTGAACTGGCATTGTTTCCGTGGCTCACAGACCGGAGAGGGTGCCTAAGGACCCACTTACTTTGCTGAGTCTGTCAGGAAGAGTTAGGTTCTACATGCTGGGCATTGGCTGGGGTTATGTGTGTCTCATGGGCAGGGACAGAAAAAGTGCAGAGACTCCCAAACAAATGGCCCCCGAGGTAGACTTTGGGTGCTGCCTGTGAATCTGAAGTTGCAAGTTTGGTTTGAAGGGACATGGTCCCAGGGACCATTTCCAGGGACTGGTTTCTTAGGCAGAGGACAGCCAGCCAGAGCTCCTTCTCAGAAATGTGCATCCGGAAAGGTCTGTACAGTCAAAGTTATAGTTTTTCCAGTAGTCATGTGTGGATGTGAGAATTGGACCATAAAGAAGGCTGAGCGCTGAAGAATTGATGCTTTCAAATTGTGGTGCTGAAGAAGACTTTTGTGACTGCAAGGAGATCCAGCCAGTCAATCCTAAAGGAAATCAACCCTGAATATTCATTGGAAGGACGGATGCTGAAGCCGAAACTCCAATACTTTGGCCACCTGATGCGAAGAGTCGACTCACTGGGAAAGACCCTGATGCTGAGAAAGAGTGAAGGCAACAGGAGAAGGGGGTGGCAGCAGATGAGATGGTTAGATAGCATCATCGACTCAATGGACATGAATTTGAGCAAATGCTGGGATATAGAGGGCGACAGAGAAGCCTGGTGTGCTACAGTCCATGGGGTTACCAAAGAGTTGGACATGACTTAGCAATGGAACAACAACAGCAGCACCTGGGAAAGCCTGGCTGCCGGGCCCTGGGGCAAAAGCAGGACCTTCCACTATCCTTTTGTAGGAAAGAGAGGGCCAGCATGGTGTTGATTTAGGGGAAAAAAAACAAAACTGCTGTCCCCTCATCCCAATCCACAAGGTGATGTCTGAGGTCTGAGCTGGGGGAACCAGCTCCCAGGCACAGTGTCTAACCTGTGGCTGTGGCTCCTGGGCCTCCGGGAGGCTGAGAACCCTGGGCCCAACCAGACCTTGTGTCCTTCTCCTTTTCCCGTAGGTCGACCCTACCCTTAAAGCAAGAAGAATATGAGGTGAGCATCAGGGGCTGGGCTGGGGGCAGGCAAAGGGCAGGGTGTCCCTGATGGGGGACACAGGGCTTGGGTGGCAGGGCCAGAGCTGGGTGCAAAAGACCCCCTGAGCACCCCCATCCTCACACCCTGCCCCGGCAGGCCTTTCTGCTCAAGCTGGTGCAGAACCTGTTCGCTGAGGGCAATGACCTGTTCCGGGAGAAGGACTACAAGCAGGCGCTGGTGCAGTACATGGAGGGGCTGAACGTGGCCGACTATGCTGCCTCCGACCAGGTGGCCCTGCCCCGGGAACTGCTGTGTAAGCTCCACGTCAACCGGGCAGCCTGCTACTTCACCATGGTGAGCTCCCCGCACCGCCTGGTCCCACCCAGACACCCCCATGGCCCCTCCGCCCCCATGCCCCCTCCGCCTTCATGTCCCTCGCCCCCGCCCTCTGCTCCCAGGGCTCTCAACCCTAGCGCACAATGGACTCACCTGGAGAGCTTTTAAAGGACTAATACATAATAAAAAGTGTTGTCATGATATGGAGCCCAAGCCCTGCCCCAGATGAGTTGTTAGGTTTTTGGGGGACGGCCTGGGCCCTGGCAGGAGTCTGTGGGCCATCAGGGCTGAGGACCGCCGCCCTTATCACCGTCTCTTTCTGCAAACCCCCTCCTCATCCTTCCCTACCTTCCTCCTTTCTCCAGACTTCAGGTTCTGCCTTTCCCTCATTCTTGCAGCTCCAGCCTTCTCCTCTTCCCTGTCCTCGCTCAGGGCTTCAGTCATTCCCCAGAGCCTATGGGGCTCTGCAGTGGGCTCTGCCAAGGGTTATGGTCAGGGGAGTCGGGTCTGGATGAACGGGTCTACCAGATGTCTGTTCACATTATGTTCTGTGTGCTGAGCCGCCTTCCTGGTGTTGCCTCCTCTGGAGATGGCTTTGTTATTCACAGTCCGTGATCTTCTGAGTGGCCGGGCTCATGACTGTAGAATTCGAAGGCCCTTCCCCTCCATGTCCTGCCAATGCTCCTTGGCTGGACACACAAACGCCCTTGATTGGGAATGAACACCAGTGCTGTTTCCTGGAGCCCTCGCCCCTGCCCCGTCTGCGAGGAAGGGAGGAGGTTGGTCCTCTGCCCCGGTGCAGGCAGGAGGCTGGGGGAGGGAGGGTGTCAGGCTGATGGGCGGCCCTCTGCTCCTCTCTGGCAGGGCCTGTACGAGAAGGCGCTGGAGGACAGCGAGAAGGCGCTGGGCTTGGACAGCGAGAACATCCGGGCGCTGTTCCGCAAGGCGCGGGCCCTGACCGAGCTGGGGCGCCACAAGGAGGCCTACGCCTGCAGCAGCCGCTGCTCCCTGGCCCTGCCCCACGTGAGTGCCGCCTCGCTCGCAGAGGCCAGGCTCCCCATCCTCTCTGGGCCCAAGCGCCTCACCCCTCTGAGCCTTGCTTTCCTCCGCTGAGATGCTGATATTAACACCAGGCACTGCTAAACATATACCGTGTATTAACTTACCTAACCCTTGAGAGAGTCCTGTGAGATAGACACTATCATTATCCCCATTTTAAAGATGAGGAGACAGAGGCATGGAGAGGAGGGAACTTACTGAAGATCCCAGTGAGGGGTGGGAGGGTCAAGACTTGAACCCAGTAGTCTGATTTCTTTTGTATATATATATATATATATATATATATATATATATATATATATATATATATATATATATATATATATATATATATATATGTAATTTTGGGAGGCTTCCCTTGTGGCTCAGCTGGGAAAGAATCCGCCTGCAATGCTGGAGACCTGGGTTCAATCCCTGGGTTGGGAGGATCCCCTGGAGAAGGGAACGGCAACCACTCCAGTATTATGGCCTGGAGAATTCCAAGGACTGTAGAGTCCCTGAGGTCGCAAAGACTCAGACAGGACTGAGCGACTTTCACTTTCACTTTTATTTGTTTTTGGCTGTGCTGGGTCTTCGCTGCTGAGTAGGCTTTCTCTAGTTGCGGCGAGTTGGGGCTACTCAAGTTGGGAGCACAGGCTCTAGAACACAGGCTCAGTAGTCGTGGCTCGTGGGCTTAGCTGCCCCAGGGCATGTCGGATCTTCCCGGATCAGGGATTGAACCCACATCTCCTGCATTGGCACTGAGCTACCAGGGAACCCTGAGCAATCTGACTGTTAATCTCCACCAGTCTCTGAGAGTCCAGGGCTGCAGGGAGCACCTAATGGGGTGCCATGTGTGTGGGATCCTGACGTCCAGGGTATCATTAGGTGGGGAAGGTCAAGGGGAAAATCCAGTCAAAGGTCTTGCTTGCCCCAGCTCATGCACAGCTAGGCACATGTCCCCTCCCCATTTATCCATCAACTTAACAAATGTTTACGAAGCGCCCACAGAGTGTCCAGATCTGTACCTTTCAGGGACCCACGGTCTGGAGGGAGACACGTGGAGACAGCCCTGAGGTCTAGGCCTGGCTGCACGGAGCCATGATCCTGGCAAAGCCCCTCCTCCCCTCTCTGCAGTTCAGCTTCTTGTCCACATAGTGCCCTTCCCATTTTGTCTCTGGAACCGCGGCCGTGAAAGGGCTTGGAAAAGGGTAAAAGCTGCCCAGGAAGGACTGAGAGAGCTCTCAGGAGTGGTCAAGATCCTGGAGGGCTCCCTGGAGGAGGCAGGGCTTGATTGAGGCTGGAAGAAGCAAGAAAGATTTGATTGCGCAGAGCAGAGACGAGGCTATAGGCAGGGTGATCAGGAATGTCAGTGCCAGAGAACTGGTCTGGGTTTGGGTTCTATTCTTGGGTCTCCTATCTACAAGCTCTGTGCCATTGGACACAGGGCTTAGCCTCTCTGAGTCTTGGTTTGTATCCCTGTAAAGTGGGGGCGATGACATGAAGCAGGGGTGATGGTATACCATGCACCATGGGGCCGTGCTGAGGATGGAATCAGAAAGTCATACAGGGCTTGGGCACAGTGGCTAGACACAGTAAGAGTTCAGAACATTCACTGCTGTTACACCTTCTGTTTATTATTCTTGCTTCTCCAATTCAGTTTACTCTACCATAGAGAAGCTCTCTTATGACCTAGTCCCCGACCTCCACCGAGTTCTTCAGCATCTGCAGCAGGTCCACATCTGGGTCCCGGGCCTGCCCTCTTACAAGAGGAGAGGATGGCTCTCACCTGGCTGTACAGGCCAGGGAGCCAGACCTGTGAGGGCTGGTAGCTCCCCAGAGGGACGTACCCACACAGGGACTTCTGCCTTTGAGTCAGAGAATTCCCCCGTTTTCCCAGGCAAACACTGACCAGGCCCTGCTCTGCGCTGGGCGTCAGGACCAGAGGTGACCCAGACCCTGGGCTCCAGGAGTTGTCAGTGAGGTGGGAGGGTGGGGGATGCACAGCGTCCCCACTGCCCGTCTGAAGCCAGGACTGCAGTCGCTGTTTCTCTGTTTCCTGACTGGTCTCCCCACTGGACTGGAGCCTCTGGGAGGCCTGGGCCCCGCCTGCTCTGTGACTGGTGTCCCTGGCCTCCAGCTTGTGCCTGGCACACAGACGGTGGTACAGACTGGGAGGGTGGAAGGAGTGCTGGGTGTCATTACTGAGCACAACCGGTGGGCCAGGCGCCTTCTGGACTTCACCCAGCCTCATTCCTTGGTGCCCGTGCTCCATCTGTTTGTCCTCACTTGCAGAGAGTTCCAAGACACTGTTTGATAAAAGAAGCCCATTGTAGAACAAGCAATAGGTATAATATAATCTCACTTATATACAAAAAGAAAGGGAAAATCCCCACAAAGCGAAACCAAACATCCTTTGTCATCCACGTGTGTGTGAGTCTCTAGCTGAGATCTGTAGGGACACATAGCATCCTTGTTGGCTAAGCTCCCTCTGGGTGGGGTGGGAGTCTAGGGTGATGGTCCAAGGGAGTCCTTGCTCCCTCTCTGACATTTCTGCTTTCTGCAGTGACTATTACTTGATGAATTGTGGAAACAAAAAGATAATATTGAAATGAAACCCAAAACGTATTCCTTTCTACTCTCCACAATAAAGGGAACAGTAGAAGCATGGGTTCCTGGCTCCAGCCCCCCACGCACTGGCCATGTGACCTGGGCAGCTAGCATCCCCTCCCAGGATCTCGCTTCCTTATCCATAACCTTGGATAATGGGCACCCTGTCCCCCCTTGCTGGGCTGCACAAGCATTTGGAGCACAACTTTGCAAGTCAGAGCAAACTAACCCACCCTTACCCTGTGTCTTGCCTTCTCAGGATGAAAGTGTAACTCAGCTTGGTCAGGAGCTGGCTCAGAAGCTTGGGCTTCGAGTTCGGAAGGCATATAAGAGGCCCCAGGTAGGTGGGCCCTGGGCACTGGGGCTTGGGTGGGGCTGGGGTTGGGGAGATGTGTAGAGGGGGGCCAGGCACCTTTGAGAGACATAGGTGAGGGGGGCTGGGGCCAGGCCAGGACAGAGGGGGTGACAGCAGGTGATCTTCCCTGTCTGTTGGCTGAAAGCCCTGGGACAACTTCCAGAGCCTCTTGGAAGAGGAAAGAACAGCCAAAGCTCCTATCTCATCTTAGACACCAGCTGTTAAAGCCCACTCCGTCCCCTGCCCTGGCCGACCTTAACACCCCAGAGATGGCCTCAGTTGACACTGGCGTCCTTCAGCCACCTGTTCTCAGATAACCCCCGTGTGGTGCATGTTTGAATTGTCAGTATCTGTTTGGCTCGTTCACATCCACGTGTGTTCATTTGGCTCCTACTTTGGGCCAGGAAACCACCTGCAGCAGAGGGTACAGCTCTAGAGTCTCTGCTGTGACCTGGAGCAAGTTAGTTCCTCTCTCCCCCTTTTCCACATCTGGGATGTGGGGATAATCGTGTCCCCTCTCAGAGGGCTCAGTGATGCTGAAGCTGACTCCAGAACTTTGGCCACCTGATGCGAAGCACCAACTCCTTGGAAAGACCCCGATGCTGGGAGAGATTGGGGGCAGGAGGAGAAGAGGGTGACAGAGAATGAGATGGTTGGATGGCATTACCAACTCATTGGACTCAAGTTTGAGCAAACTCTGGGAGATAGTGAAGGGCAGGGAAGCCTGGTGTGCTGCAGTCCATGGGGTCACAAAGAGTCAGACACGACTTAGCAAGTAAACAACAGCAACAACAATAGAGGGCTCATGGGAGGATCACAGGGAGAGAGTGTTTGAGACGTGCCGGGCACCCACAGAAGTGTGTACCTAGAGGTCCTCTGCTCTGGTCGTGGTTGCAGGAAGAAAACCCCCAAATGGGACTCAGAGAGACAGGGCAGGTGACTCCCTGCAAGCCTGGGGGCAGGGAGCTTGGGGAGGCACCGCAGACCCCACCTGCCTGGCTGGGGCTCCTTTTTAGCCCCAGCTGGTGGGACCCTGGGCACCTTTGCAGAATCACCATCTCTTCCCATCTCTCTCCAATCTCTGGCAGGAATTGGAAACCTTTTCTCTGCTCAGTAATGGCACTGCAGCTGGCGTGGCAGATCAGGTAGGATGGGGCAGGACCCTGAGCAGATCCCCCCAACCTGTACCACCGCCCCTCGCCCCACCCCCTGCCCAGAACCAGCCTATCTTGGTTCATCCATCGTAAGAGCTTTGGGTTTGTTCTCGGATATAAATGACCTCAAGCAGCAGAGCCAGAGGCATCACACTGAAGGGTTGGGCTCAATCTGTCCCCATTCTCATGCTGCCGCCAGTCTCCTGCCTCTTGAAGAGGGGTAATGACAGCTTGGGCCTGAACCAGGCTCTTGAGAGCAGCCCAGAGACTCAGAGCACCTCCCCCTTCCAGGAGGGGCCTCCTGGGACCACAGGGGCAGAGTAGGGGGATGGAGTGTGGCTGGGGTGCTGCGAGTGGTCCCTGCACATTAGAGTCAGGTTTAGGTCACTGCAGGAGGGCCATCGGGGGTACCCTCACTCGTGGACCCCAAGAAAGGAGCCAATGGTAACAGGAAGAGTGGGAGTAGGACTGAGAAAGAAAGGCAGTTGAGATCAGACCACCAGGCCTTGTCTAGGGGGCATGGTAGGGCCCTGCACACATCAGACCCCCCACCACCCACCACACAGGAACTGCTCAGGAGGGCTTGGGGCGGGGGACGGGCTGTAAGAGCTGACCGGGCTGGCGTCCCGCCTGCTTGTTGTACACAAGGGGGAAAGTGAGCACAAGAGTGATGAGGGGACTTGGCCAGCGTCACACAGTAGGGCAGCTCATTCATTCATTCACTCCACAGACTCCCAGGGAACCCCTTCTGGGCCCTGGACTGCCGCTGGGCCAGAGCTGAGTCAGGCGTGTCCTCGCCCTTGGGGGCCTGCCAGGCTGCAAGCAAGGCACATGCGGACCTGCCTGTGTAGCACTCGGGATGGTCTGCAATCACAATTGCTAGGCCTGGTGCATACTGGGTCCTTAAAAACAATTAAATTAAGGGAATGTCCTAGTCTGTTCAGGCCGCTATAACAGAATGCTGGGAATTTCCTGGTGGTCCGCTGGCTAGGACTTAGCAGTCTTATTGCTGGGGCCACAGGTTCCATCCCTGGTCAGGGAACTAAGATCCTACATGCCACATGGTATGGCAAAATTTTAAAAAGGCCATGTACTGGGTGACTTACAAATAAGAAACTTATTACTCATAGTTTTGGAGACTGGAGGGTCTCATGCTGTCACTGGTGGCATGACCTAGAGGAAATGGCATCATGTCCTGGCCTTAGGTTCCCTCTGTAAAATGGAGAAGACACTGGTGCCCAGGTCCCCGGGTGGGTGTGTGACTGGCATAAGGGAGTGCAGTTCCCCGGGATAGGGCTGGGCCTCGTGCGTCTTTCTAGGGCAGGGTTGGGGAGCCCCTGCAGGTCCTCGGGGCTCATGAGGGGATGTGTCTGCTCATCACAGCAGGCAGAGCAGCACTGGGCAGGTGCAGCAGGTGCTGAGAAGACATTTGTTGAATGACTGAATGATCATGGCCAAAGGGTCACAGCAAATATGGGTGGGATGCCCAGCTCCACGAGGGCCAACCCTTGGTGTCCACTGAGTCTGCAGCCGGGGGGCCACAAATGGTGCTGTGTGGGGCAGTGGGCACCCCAGCCCCTGCCAAGCCAGCCACCCATCCCTGCAACCTTATGGATCCCCCACTACATGTTGGTCACAGGGATGGGAGTCTTTAAGAAGCCCAGGCAGAGAGGACTCCATGGTGGAGAGGACCAGATCAGACCCTGCCTCACGGTGCTAGCATGGTGCCATGTGTGCGTACACATGTGCACACACCCCCCCACATCCACCACACACTCCCACAACCACATACCACCCCCCACACAGTGGCCTGCAGACACACGTGGGACAGGAGGACAGGGGGAGAGTCCCAGCCGGATCCCTTGACCTTGACCTTCTGGAGGTCCCACTCAGATGCTGCATCTGAGCCTGGCCGCTGGGCTCCCCACCAGATTCTCCGGTGTGGAGGTGCCAGCCAGGCAGTCATTCCCCACGTGCCTGGGAGCAGAGATGGCACGAGCTGTGCCCACAGGGCACTCCCCGTGCTCTGGAGACAGCGAAGCCCCGGGGCAGTCTTGGCAGCATGGGGAGCCAGACGCAAGGAGGACTGTGAGATCCAGGACCAGACAGAGCCTGAGGCAGCCTTGGCCTCCTGATCACCTTGGACTTCACAGAGCAGCCAGGTTGCGGGATGTGGGCAGGTGGAGAGGAGGGAGCTGCTCCCTTGAGGGCCTGGAGGCAGGTGGGGAAAGGCAGGCCACGGCCCAGAGCTGGACACGAGCCAGGCGAGTCCACTTGGGCCAGTCATGGAGGCCGGTGGATGAGAATGCCAGCTTCCCCAGGCCAACCTCCTAGTGGCCTGGATTTAAAAGTTGATGTTTCACATTTGACAGACACAGGCAGCACTTCCTGTGTGTCGGGCTCTGTTCTAAGCTCTGTACAAACGTCAAGTGATCTCATCCTTTTAACAGTCCAGGGAGGAGGGTGACTGTGCTGTCCTCACTTTACAGATGAGGAAGGTGGCCCAGAGAGGGTGGGGGACTTGGCCAAGCCCACAGGGCAGCTTGGGCCCAGCTTTTCCTCCAGTGGGAGGTCTGCAGGTGGCAGGGCAGTCCCACCTGGCCCGGTTGGGCCTGGGCTATAACTGGGCGAGGGGACACTGGTCAATCAGGAGACTGGTGCTTTTGGCTTTGAGCTGTGACCTGTCCACACCTGGCATGAACATGGAGGGCTTGGTAAAACACCCCCCTGTGACGGGCAAGGAGCTGGCTCAGCGGTCCTCCCCCTGAGGACACTCTGGGGAGAGGCAGACACGAGGCCCCTGCCCAGCCGGCCTGGTGGTTAACACCAGCGGTGGTCACTCAGGGCAGGGGCCCTCCCAGCCCATGTCTGTCTGACCCGCCCCATCCCCCTTTTCTACAGGGAACTTCCAATGGATTGGGGTCCATAGATGACATCGAAACAGGTAGTGTCCCTGATGCCAGATGACGGGGTGGACAGGCGCCCTGGGGAGAACTCAGCCCCTCCCCGCCCACGACCCCGGGAGGTCAGCTGGGTCAAGCCCCTGCAGATCCCTGGCCCTGCAGACAGGGCTTCTGGGGGCTCCCTGCTCTGGGGACTGCCTGAAGCATGGAAGAAAAGAGTGGGTGCAGGAAAACAGACTCCGCTGCAGGGCAAGTCTCCAGCCTGGGAGGTACGGGGCCACCTCCATGGGACTCAGCTGGGGGTCCACCTTTCTTGAAGTCCTCCTCTCCTTTTCTCTTCCTCACTGGCTTCCAGGAGGGGGTCACGGTTACATACTGTCCTTGAGAGGGGGCGTAGCATACCCCAGAGGTGGGTGCTGACCTGGCCCGTCTGGAGACGCTGCAGACTGAAGGCCCCTCCCCTGGCCCGCGGGGCCTGCCTTCACTCCAGCTGGGCCTCCCCATGGGGTCAGGCCATAGGGCAGGCAGGGCTCCAGGCTCCGGGGAGGCAGGAGAGGAGGACAGGTGGTGGGTGAGGAGTCCCGGGTCCCGGGCCAGCTCCCCCATTCCCACCAGATGGGACCCCCTGCAGCTACTGAGCCCACCCCCATCCACAGACTGCTACGTGGACCTGCGAGGCTCCCCGGCCCCCCTCCCCTCCACCCCCACGATGCCCCTCTTCCCTCACGTTCTGGACCTGCTGGCCCCCCTGGACAGCAGCAGCAGGGCCCTCCCCGGCACCGAGAGCCTGGATGACTTCTCCGACGGGGACGTCTTTGGTCCAGAGCTGGATACCCTCCTGGACTCTCTGGTGAGCAGGGCTGTCCCCTCCTGTTCCTGGAACCCCTCGTCCCCCTCCCCGCTGGGACCCCATCACATCCTCACATCCCAAGTGGGAGGGAAGGCCCCACATCTGTGTCCCAGTGGGGAGACTGAGGCCTTGGGGAGGGCAGCTTGAGCTGGATGGAACATGAAAAGTATAGAACATGCGTCCAGGAGGGAGACGGAAGGTACCTGGCTCCACCCGGTGGAACAGGCCTGGGCACTCAGGTCCTCACTCATGTTCTCCTCCAACCCCTCCCTCTGTTCCCACTTCGCAGTCCCTGGTGCAGGGTGGCCTGCCTGGCGGCGGTGTGCCCAGCGAGCTGCCCCAGCTGATCCCCGTGTTCCCCGGTGGGACCCCGCTGCTGCCCCCCGTGGTGGGGGGCTCCATCCCTGTGTCCAGCCCGCTGCCCCCTGCCTCCTTCGGCCTCGTCGTGGACCCCTCCAAGAAGCTGGCAGCCTCCATGCTGGATGCCCTGGAGCCCCCGGGCTCGGGGCTGGACTCCCTGGACCTGCTGCCGTATTCGGAGACCCGATTGGACGCCCTTGACAGCTTCGGGTCGTCCCGTGGTTCCCTGGACAAGCCTAGCTCCTTCCTGGGTGAGGCCTCCGCCACCCCCTGAAAGTTGGCCAAGTGCCAGCTAGGATGGCAACTCTCCTGGTCTGGGGCCCCCGGCTGTGCATCTCCTGTGATGCTCACCACAGCGTGGGCCCGAGACCTCAGGGACTTGTTTAAGATCAAGAGCAGGGCTGGAATATAGGCTGGTGCTCTCTGCCCAGCCTCCTGGGACCCTGGGGTCGCCAGACTGGTGGGAGGACGATCCTGGGGCTGGGGGCAGGATGTAAGGCCATGGGTTCCTCCAGCACCACTCTGACCTTGGACCCTGCAAGGAAACAGACCTGCCTGGGCCTCTGTGGAACCGGTTTTCCAACAGACCTAGCCTAGAGTGCTCACTGTTGATGGGGATTCCCGGGGGGCACAGATGGGCTTTATGGAGACTTCCTGGAGGAGATGACAGCTAGCAGGATCCCCTGCCAGCCGAGGGAGCGATGCTACACGGGCCTGGTGTTGGAGGGTCTGTTGGATGAGCAGGGGAGTCGGCCATAGGGTGGGCAGGTTGGGGGGCCTTGAAGGCCTGAGGCTGGTCTCAGAGGACCATGAGCCAAGCTGAGGAGCTCAGGCTTCCTCCCGGGGGGCCATCAGGGCATAGAAGGTATAAGCAGTGGGTGGACGTGCCTGAGCGGGGAGGCTTCTCTGTCCCCATGCAATGGCCCACATAGGAGAGCATGTGTGGCCTGGGTGGCTTCTCCAAGTTAGAAATAGAGACGAGAAATACAGAGGGCCCCTTACACCCCTCAGGGCAGGTGACCCCTGCGTCTTCTCGCCCAGAGGACGGCAACTCACAGGACCATCGTCCCTCGAGCGGTACTCAGAAGCCAGCCCCCTCGGTGAGTGACTCGGCGAGGATGGGTGCCCAGGTACCTCGTGTTCTCTGGGGGGTGGAGGCAAAGCACTATGGGCTCCAGAGTAGGGGTGAGCCCTCAACATGGAATAAGGTACAGCATGTCCGAGCAGGAGGGCCAGATATGGTTTCTTCCCAGCCCTTCCAGACCCTTCCTGGCCTGATGGCATGCTGGGAGCAAGTAGAGGGCTTGGCCCTTGCTTTTCTGACCAGAGAGGGTATCGAGGCTCAGAGGGTTGAGTGATCTCTCCAGGGTCATTAACATCCCTGATCTCAGGATTCAGACAGGTGTGAGTTGAGGAGAGCATCTGTCCAGGTCTCAAGTACCTGGACTCTGGCCTCAGCCAAGACAGTAGCTGTGTGGCCCTGGGGAAGCCACCCAACCTCTCTGAGTTTTGCCTTCCTCCCATCTAATGAGGCCGTGGGGGCTTGGGAGAGAGGATGGGTTGGGTGGGGGGTGGCGGGCTGGCCTTAGGCCCCAGTCAGGGCCACTCCTGTTTCACTCCATTCACATTGGACTTTGACTCAAGGAAAGGTTCTGGGCCAAGGTCATTGTCACCAGGCACCTCAACTAGGCTGAAGTAGCCCTGTTGGATTCTGGGATCATGTAACAAGGACCTCCCCGTCTGGGAGGCTGGGGGAAGGAGAGTCCCGGGCTGCGGTTTGGCACTTGGGTGGGGTTGGGGGGGGGAGTGTCACACTTCTGGTGCCCAGGCTGGCCCTGGTGGCTCTGGCCACCGTCCAGCGCCTAAAATGGTCAATCTCCTCCTGTTACAGCCAGAGCCTTCCATGCCCAACACCGCCTTGCTCATCAAGAACCCTTTGGCTGCCACCCATGAGTTTAAGCAGGCCTGTCAGCTCTGCTACCCCAAAACAGGTAAGGCCACACCTCTGTGCTCCGCCCCTCTGCCCAGAGATGCCAGGGATCTCAGGAGCGTAGAATCCCAGAATGACAGAAGCCCAGTGCACCCATCAGAGAGAAGTCTGGAAAGATAGAAGCCCTGCTGGCTATTTAGAGCAGCTCGGGATGTCAGGGGGGGCAGGACTTTCAAAACTGCCAGAAAGGCTGGAGGAGTGGAAGCCAGGAGACACCATCGGGCCTGTGGTCTACTTTTCCACAAGCTGAGGCCCAAAAGCGGGGTACGCAGCTCACACAGAGCTCCCCACTCAGGGGGCTGCCAGCCAGTATCACGTCTACCCCACAGCCCAGAGGCCGGCTCCTGGCTGTGGAAGGCAGGGTCTAGCTAGCTGCCGCAAACATATCTGCTGAGAAAGTGCAGCCTGCATCCCTGTCCACATTCACCTTTCCATCTACCTCTCACTGGGTGAATTCAAACCTTGCCTAGAATCTAGGGGACAGAGGAGCTTGGAAAAGGTTATTTCCTGGGCTCCCCACTCCCAAACCCAAAGGAGACTGTAGGAGCAATTCCAGATAGGTGCCTGGCATTGGTAAACAATTTTCAACACACCTAGAATTTCAGATTTCTAGACTCACATCATTTCACCTTCTAGAATTCCACAGTCCTGATGTTTCAGAATAGTATTCTCTGGGTATCTCAGGGTTACAAATCTTCCCAGCCTGGAAATCTCCATCTCAGAGGGACTGGAGTTGACAGGACTTCAGAGGTCCTCTGTTGCTGTCATCCACCCCCTCCCCATCACATTCATGTCATGCCTGCCAGAGTCATCCTGTGAAGTCCATGGCCCTGCGGGGCCAGGGGGCACAACACCATCTAGCTGGGTGTCTGTGCCCGTAAGGAGGTTTTTTCCTTGTACGGAGTGCATCCTCTCCCCGATCTGCAGCCCCCTGCTAGGAAAGCAGAGCTGTTGCCCACCAGGTGCTGGCCAGCCACGTCACGTGGGTCCCCACGAGGGACCTTGGTTCTCCTGGTCTCTTTGGGGAGACTTGCCTCACTCCATTGTTGCTGGAGGGGAGTCCCTTGGTCAGAAGATTTGGGAGGACAAGGATAAAAAGGAAAAGGAGCAGGGGAGGGAGGCTAAGGAAGGCTGGCCGCACCTCCTTGGGGCAGGAAAAGGAGACGGAGCCTGCTCTCTGCCCGGCTCTGTCTTCATCACTTGTTCCAAGGAGACGCTGACATGGTCAGGCTCTCTGACTGGTGAGTCAGGGCGGTGGTGGAAAGGGGGTGGGCGCTGAGAAGGGGCTCCTCGGAGGGTATTCTCCGGCCAGCCCCGACACCCTGTCCACGGGGAGCACAGGCAAGGAACTGGCGGGAGGCCCAGAGGAAGGAAGTGGGCTTCTAGGCAGCAGGGGGGTGGGGTGGCCAGTCCCCCGTCCCCCTTCAGTTCTGCCTCCGGAACCACAGTCCTGGTCCTCCCTGCCCCCACAGGCCCCAGAGCGGGCGACTACACCTACCGCGAGGGCCTTGAGCACAAGTGCAAGAGGGACATGCTGCTCGGCCGGCTCCGGAGCGCCGAGGACCAGACGTGGAGGCGCATCCGGCCCCGGCCCACCAAGACCAGCTTCGTGGGCTCCTATTACCTGTGCAAAGGTGGGTGGGCCGCCACAGGGGCGGGGGCACGGCCAAGGGCCCAGCTGTGGCTCTGCGCCTCACCTCAGGCAGGCAGGCAGGCAGGCAGACAGGGGTGGTCCAGAGAGGACGGAGTCCACGTGAGGACAAGCAGCTCCGGCCCTCACCACTCTGCAGACAGACGAGAGCCTCCGCGTGTCACACTCAAGCTGGGGCCTCAGCAGCTCCTGGGTGTGAGGGTCAGACAGTTCTGATACACTGCTGGGCCCCAAAGGGCTATGCGAAGGATGTGGAGAGAAACCATGTAAAGCACTGCAGACTGGACCATAGTAAGGGCTTGACAGACACTAGCTTTTAAAAATTCGTGTGTTGTCATCATCCTTCTGGCTCATGTCGGGTTGACATGTTGTGGATATTCGACAGGTACCTCATTTGCTTTCTTCTTCTTCTTCCCAACCAAGTGTCTGGGTGCCATCTGGGTGCAAGACCTGAACAGTCTTAATAGTGTTCAGAGCTTTAGAGTGTCACCCTTTTGTTCCCACCATCACACATCCTCATGACAACTCTGAGTGAGGAAACTGAGACTTTGGGAGCCCGCCCCAGCTCCACCTTTGTCCCCCAACCCAGCCCGTGGCAGTAGCCCACCCAGGCTTTCTGGATCAGCTTGTCTTCCCAGCTGGATCTTTTAAGAGCTAGCTTTATTTTTTTTAATATTTACTTATTTTTGGCTGTGTCGGGTCTTGGTTGCGGGATCTTCCTTTGCAGTATGTGGGCTTTTCTCTCGAGTTATAGCCACAGGTTCAGTTGCTCCACCACATGTGGGATCTTAAGTTCCCTGACCAGGGATCGAACCTGCACCTCCTGCATTGAAAGACCGATTCTTAACCACTGGACCACCAGGGAAGTCCCCCGGCTGGATCTTAAAGACTTGTCATTTCTGAGCTTGAAGTTCTCCTCCAGTCATGCCCCAGCCAGTGTGGATGAAGTCCCGATTCCATGAGGCCTACAAGCCCCCCATTGGCCCTAGCAGTCACCATATACACTGAACCCTGACTCTTTTGCACACGTTGTATCCTGGGAACCTGGTCATCCTCTGCTCCTCCTTCAAGCAGTGCCCAGATCTTGGGACCCACCCCTCCTAGGGCTCCCCAATGGATGCAGAGTTGGTCACAGTGCAGAGCCCACTGTCTGTGGGGTCACTTGGCCACCGGCCTGCTCATCCCTGTGTGCCAGTAAGCCTGGCTGGGGGCCAGGGCCGACTTAGAGTGTGAGGGAGGGGGACGAAGAAAGAAAAGCAGTTCCCACTCCCAGGAAATGGCCAGTCTCCAGGATATAAACCTGCTGCCTTCCCAGCTCCCTGGCCCCCAGGAGTTTATTTATGATTACCTTATTTACTATCATTACTTATTATTTTATGTATTATTTCACTTAATTCCTACAACAACCGTGTTTTCATTTCACGGACAGCTGAGGCTCAGGAATAACAGGGAATCCCCAGCCCACATCTGCCAGACCCAAAGGCCTGTGCTTTCTGTCACCAGTGGTATTTTCCTAGTGACTACTACTACTACTAATAAAACCTCCCATGTTTATTTAGAGGCTTATATATGTCTGGGCTTCCCTGGTGGTTCAGACAGTAAAGAATCTGTCCGCAGTGCGAGAGACCCCGATCCCTAGGTTGGGAAGATCCCTTGGAGGAGGGCATGACAACCCAGTATTCTTGCCTGGAGAATTCCATGGATAGAGGAGCCTGGTGGGCTACAGTCCATGGGGTTGCAAAGAGTCGGACACGACTGAGCGACTAACACTTTCACTTTCGCTGTCTACAAAGCCCACTTGTGCCTGCCATCTTCCTGGCCCATACACAGCAGCTCTGTGCAGTGGAGGAGTGGGGATGAACGCAAACTCCCCCAAACCCTGCTGGGTGGCTGACTGCCCGTCCGGCCGTGCAGTGGCCACGAGGGCGCTGCAGTGCCGTCCGCCTGGCGGAACGTGTGTCCTGTTGCCTTTTTGCAGACATGATTAACAAGCAGGACTGTAAGTACGGGGATAACTGCACCTTCGCCTACCATCAGGAGGAGATCGACGTGTGGACGGAGGAGCGGAAGGGCACCCTTAACCGCGACCTGCTCTTCGACCCGCTGGGGGGCGTCAAGCGCGGCAGCCTCACCATCGCCAAGCTCCTCAAGGAGCACCAGGGCATCTTCACTTTCCTCTGTGAGGTACCAGCCCCTCCCCAGTCCATGCACAGACCGTGGGAGGCTCCACGGTGGGCGATGAGCCCGGGGACCTGAGGGTTTTGGAGGCCTGCCCTTACAATGAGTAAGTCCTGAGACTGTCAGAAAGTTAGGCCCCTAGGATCCTATGGCACTAGAGCCCAGATCTTATCCAGTCCCCTCATTTTGTGGAGGTGGAAACTGAGGCCAGAAAGAGAAGGAACCACACCGGGCTCTTGACTTCCAGCCACCATAGGCCCGACTCAGGTGTCCTAGGAACTCATGCTAAGCACCCCCACACTTCCTCATCCAGCTGTGCTGGCTTCAATGCCCATGGTGCCTTCCTGCCCACTTCTCTGCCCGTGTTCAGGCCAGGCCCTCTCCCCGGGGTGCCCTCTCTGTGTTTCTGTGTCTTGGACCCTCTGAGTCTCAAGGGTGATGCCAGAAGCCCCACCAAGCTGATCATTTCCTCCCCAGAGCTGTCACAGGAGACCCTGCTGGCCCCTGCCTCCCCACCAGGCATCATGTGATGCGGGCAGGGACAGGCTCCATCTCCGGGAAGTGAGGGCGCTAGGTCTGGGTTGCCAGCTGAGTGTGGTGCTGTTCGGCCAGCCCCCATCCCTCACACAGCACAACACTTCCCTCTGACTCTTAGAGCAGGTGAGGTTCCCACTCCCTTCAGGGGACCACAGTCCGCAGCCTAGTGGCTGCAGACTTCACAAAGCACCTACAGTTCCGTTAGATCCTTCTTTGGCTTCACAGTGTACCTGTGGGACAGAGCAGGTGTGGTTTTCCCCTGGGTTACAGCTGAGGAAACGAAGGCTCAGAGATAAGGAGTAATCCCTGCCCCAGGCATTTGGAGCGGTGGGATCAGAGAGGTGGGGGCCACAGACCCTGGGGTTCCCTTCCACACCCCCCTTACTCAGGGCAGAGCTTGCAGGGACCCAGTCTGTCCCTCTGGGGTGGCCATGCTGGGTCCCAGCCCACCCCCTCCCCGGGCAGATCTGCTTTGACAGTAAACCCCGGATCATCAGCAAAGGCACCAAGGACTCTCCGTCTGTCTGCTCCAACCTGGCTGCCAAGCACAGCTTCTACAACAACAAGTGAGTGAGGCCCACAGCCAGACCCACCACCTGGATCAGGGAGGGGGCAGGTGGAGAGCCCCCCTGGGGCAGCTTAGATGCCTGGGGAGCAGTTGTGGCCATAGGGTGGGCCTAGGGTGTCAAGGCAAGGGGCAGGATTTGAGACTCAGATCCAGCATCTACCTGGAAAGGACAGAATCACATGTACTGAGCATCTACTATAGTCCAAGCATTTTCTTACCTATTTTAATGATCTCTGCAGTCAGTAAAATCCTCCTGTGTGGAGGAGTGAGTGTCTCTGATACATAGTTGACAAAGCTGAGGCTTGGAAGCTGCTTACTCAGACAGCAGGTGAGGGCCACATCCCTGACTCCCATCCAGCGTCCTCCACTGTCCTGACACAGGCATCGGACAGTGAGTGTGAGAGGCTGGTGGGGTCCAGCACCCACCTATGCTTCCTCTGATTCCTCTTGGCTGTGCCCCAGTCTGGGTTGATGGAATCAGAGTTGGGTCCAAACCCCAGCTCGGACACTGGTCTGTTTTGTATCCTCTGGCCTCTGTGACCCTTGGTTTCCTCATCTATAAAGTGGATGTTGATCCCTATCTCCCAGGGTTACTGGGAAGGTAGTTAAAATTCCCAGCCCAGAGGAGATGCTCAGGTGTCATCCCTCCGGGTGCAGAACCAGCTCTGGGGCATCAAGCTGGGGAACCCCAGGAAGATGCCCTTTCTGGGGGTCTGGGGCAGCTCTGTCCTGTGCCGTCTCCAGGGTGAGGCTGGGAGAGGGGCACACCGCTGGGGTTCGCAGCAGACCTGCCCGAGCATAGGACCCCCACCCCTTCCCTCCTGTGCCAGTGGTGAATAGGGGGAGGCGCCCGGGTAGGAGACCCTCATCACATGTCCAGCATGGATACCAGGGAGGGGGCCTCGACCAGGGATGGGGGGCTGCAGACTGCATCATGTCACCCCCACCCCGCCCGCCAGGTGCCTGGTGCACATCGTCCGCTCCACCTCCCTCAAGTACTCCAAGGTTCGCCAGTTCCAGGAGCACTTCCAGTTCGACGTGTGCCGCCACGAGGTGCGATACGGCTGCCTGCGCGAGGACAGCTGCCACTTCGCCCACAGCTTCATCGAGCTCAAGGTCTGGCTCCTGCAGCAGTACTCAGGTGAGGGCTCAGGTGGGGGCTCAGGTGAGGATTCAGGTGGGGCCTCAGGTGAGGAGGGCTCAGGTGAGGATTCAGGTGGGGCCTCAGGTGAGGAGGGCTCAGGTGAGGGCTCAGGTGGGGGCTCAGGTGAGGATTCAGGTGGGGGCTCAGGTGAGGGCTCAGGTGAGGATTCAGGTGAGGGCTCAGGTGGGGGCTCAGGTGAGGATTCAGGTGGGGGCTCAGGTGGGGATTCAGGTGGGGGCTCAGGTGAGGATTCAGGTGGGGACTGAGGTGAGGATTCAGGTGGGGGCTCAGGTCAGGGCTCAGGTGAGGATTCCGGTGGGGGCTCAGGTGAGGGAGAGGACTGCAGGGTTCAGAGGAGGACAGTGATGTTGTGGTGGGGGGCTGCAGAGAAGCCAGTACTTCCTGGACATCCCAGGACTCAAAGGCTCTGCATTAGGGGGCTTCCAGGCCCAGAAGACCCTGGGTTTATCCCTGCGTGGGCACTGACAGGGGAGCCAGGAGGCCGAGCTCCATGGGCCACCTGAGTGGTCTGGTCACCAGCGGCCCCTCATCGAGCCCCAGTGCTCCTCTGTGAGGCGGTGATGTCAGCTCCGCCTCAGCGATGAGGAGGTTAAAAGCCATTCACTTGCTCACTGGCTCACCTGATGGGATTCCTTGAGCACCTACTCTGTCAGGGTCCTGAGTGAGCATGTGGAGGGCCCCAGCCTCAGGGCCCTAGGATGTACATGAAAGCAAGGGAGACGGTCGAACGGGGAGGTAAGGGACCCTCCATCCTTCTGCTCCAGGAGGCATACTGTCCCCTGCTGCCTGTCATCATTTACTTAACAACATTTTTGTTGTGTGTGTGGAACATAAAATAATGGTGCATCTAACAAGCCTTGTCTTCTGAGAGTTGATGGAATAGGGTGATAGAGTTTCAGATGTACATAAATAACACGAGGAAAGGAAAGCAGAGCAGGAGGACAGAGAGGGACTTGGGATGGGGCATTTGGGATTAGGAAGTCTGAGAGGGCTTCTCAGAGTAGGTGGCATTTGAGCAAGGAAGGGCAGAGAGAGCATTCCAGGCAGAGGGAACAGCAAGGCTGGCAGCCCTGAAGTAGGAGCAAGCTTGGTACAGAAGGAAGGACATCTGAGGGCAGAGCAGCTTCGTGCTGGGGGAGGGGCAGTGTCAGAAATGAGGCCTAAGAGGTGAAAAAGTCTCAGGATCATAAATAGAGATAGAAATAGTTGTGTACATGTGTGCATGCTAAGTCGCTTTAGTCATGTCTGACTGCGACTCTGTGGACTATAACCTGCCAGCTCCTCTGTCTGTGGGATTCTCCCAGGCATGAATACTGGAGTGGGTTGTCGTGCCTTCCTCCTGGGGCTCTTCCCGACAGGGATTAAACACCTGTCTCTTATGTCTCCTGTATTGGCAGGCAGGTTCTTTAACACTAGCGCCACCTGTGATTGTTCTAAATATAATGTGCAGAGGTCGGGGGTCAGGGGTTGAGCGGGTAGAGTTGTATGACCTGATCAGTGTTTTTAAGAATTCGCTCTAGCTACTGGGTGGAGAACAGAGGGGCCAAGGGCAGATGGAAGGGGGCCCGGGGGTGTGGCTCAGGCCCAGGTGGCAGCGGCGGAGGTGGTAGAAGTGATCGGATCCTGGGTGTATTGATGGTGGAGCCAGTGGGAGCTGATGAACCAGACATGATGTAGGAGACAAAGAGGGCATCAGGTTGACCCCAGTGGGGACGCCGTGTGCTGAGACGGGGAGGAGCAGGTCGGGGGATCACATCTAGGCTCGTTTGGGATGTGGGGCTGTCTGAGCTGCCTGTTGGACTTCAGGTGGAAAGATTGAGCAGGCAGCCAGATATGGGGGTCTGGAAGGTCCCAGGAGAGCTCTGGGCTGGAGATTCATCAAGCAGCAAGAAGGTGGGTGCCAAGCAGATGCCTGGCCGAGTAAGCCCCTACTGGCAAGGCGCCATGGGGAAGCGGTATCCACAGGGCCAGACTGCAAATGAAGTGGGTCTGCAGAAGGAACTAGAAGACCAGAGCAGGGTTGGGAGGAGGGCGGACCTGGTGGAAGAGGCTGTGAGCTGCCCCTCAGAGGTGCACTGTGTCCACAGTCAGATTGGGAGGGTCTGGGCCACCAGGCTTGGGTATCTGCCCTTTGCCAACTGGCAGTGAAGTCCTGGCCCCTTGGTGACTGGGCAGCCGGGCTGGGCCAGACATGAAGCCCTAAGAACCTGTGGGCTAGAGGCCACCAAGCAGGGGTCAGACTTGAGGCCCCCCTGCCCCGAGGGAGGCAGGGGACAGGGGAGGGACAGGGATGCTGGCGTGGGTACAGGGAGGCCCCTGTCATCCTGCAGAGCCCACATCTTTCTCCTGCATCTTATTCTCTGTGGGTCCTGGAATAACGCCTGGAATCAGGCCTCCGTCTCCAGCTGCAGATGAACTAATGGGCCTAGAGAGCGTGCAGGCTGTCCCTGCTCCCCTCGTCTTTCCCCAGCCTAACTAGGAAGTGGGGCTCCTCCCTGGGCCTGGGGTGGCCCCCTCAACTCGGACCCCCCACCTCTCTCCCCACTGAGCTCCAGGGACGCCATGTCTATCCTACCCCCCTCCCCAGGCATGACCCACGAAGACATCGTCCAGGAATCCAAGAAATACTGGCAGCAGATGGAGGCTCACACAGGGAAGGCCAGCAGCAGCTTGGTAAGACCCTGGGCTGGCGTACGGGGTGCAGTCAGCCCCCACGAGGGGCAGCCCCCATTCCCCACCCCTTTGGTTTATCTTTACGTAATGCAGAGTCTGACTCTCTGCAGTCTCATGGACTGGAGCCCTCCAGGCTCCCGTCCATGGGATTCTCTAGGCAAGAATACTGGAGTGGGTTGCCATTCCCTTCTCCGGGGGATCTTCCTGACCCAGGGATCAAACCCAGGTCTCCCACATTGCAGGCAGATTCTTTACCATCTGAGCCACCAGGGAAGCCCCCATCTCTTTACCTAGTCATCATTTATTTAACAGAATATTGTAAGAAGAGCACAAAGAATTTGTGTATAGCTTTTTTTAGATTCCCCAGGTGTTAACATTTTACAGCTGTCCACACTCACTTTGTGCTGTGTGTGTGTGTACATACACACATACGCATTTATTTACAGAAACACACACTTTTCTGAACCATTAGAGAGTAAGTTGTACACATGATGCCCTGTTACCCCAAAATACTTCAGTGTAAAAATAAGGACACTGTCTTCCAAAATGAGCATAGTACAGTCACCAACATCACCAAATTCACGTTGGGGTGATTATCCGGATTGCGCTGTACTGTACACGTGCACTTAGTCGCTCAGCCGTGTCCGACTCTTTGTGACCCCTCGAACTGTAGCCTGCCAGGCTCCTCTGTCCGTGGAATTCTCCAGGTGAGAACACTGGAGTGGGTTGCTGTTTCCTCCTCCAGTGATGTACTATTATTCAGATTTTTGTGACTCCTCCCCAGATCCCAGCGACACATTGTATTCCTGTATTGTCTTTCTGTGTGTGTGTGTCTTTAATTGCCTTTAATCTAGAGCAGTTCCTCAGTCTTTGTCTTTCATGACATTGACTTTTTAAAAAATATTTATTCTTTATTTATTTGGCTATGCCAGGTTTTAGTTATGGCACCTGGGGGTTTAGTTATGGCTTTAGTTACAGGATCTAGTTCCCTGACTAGGGATCCAGGTCCCCTGCATTGGGAGCACAGGGTCTTTAGCCACTGGACCACCAAGGAAGTCCTGACATTGACATTTTTGAAGAGCCAGATGCTTTGTAAAAGGCCCATCTGTTTGGGATTGTCTGATTGGAGACATGTCACGTCCATTTGTCCCTTCCCCGGTAACTTGATTAAAGGTGCCTCCACTGGAAAGCTTTCTCTGTTGTGAAGTTAATCTCTCCTCCTTTGTAATGAATGACTGTCTTCCTGGAAGTCCTCTGAGACCATGTAAATGTTCTGGTGTCCCTCAGCCTTTCCCCCCACTGCTCATATCACTTCCTATCCCTCTGGATCCTCACCCGGGTCCCCTGCCATGAGCTGGGGCATGGTGGTGTTTTCAGGAGGGGAGACTGAGGCTCAGGACACGCTAGAGACTTGCCCGGGGCACACGCAGCCTAGGAGGAGCAGAGGTGGTCTTGGGTTCTCTGACGGCTTGTCTAGAGTCCGCTCTGCTCCCTCCCCAGCCACTCCATCCCCGTCAGCCTGAGGGCCCCTCATTCATAAACTGCGGATCAGAACCCTGCCTGCCATCTCCAGGGCTGGTGTGAGGCTCACAGGAGCTGACCATGTCCCTGCTCCATGTGGGGGCCCCATCACCCCTGAAGCTCACACCCTCCCCAAGAGGCAGGGGTCATTGTAACTCTATCGATAGAGGGGGGAGAGGGGTGGTCCCAGGGCCCAGGAGACAGTCACATGGGGGATGATTCCCTCACCATTCCTGGCCCACCCACTGGTCACCTAGGGAGGACCCTGGGCCCCAGGCCCCTCTTAAGGCCAGCCTGGGTGTGGCTGGGAGCCAGGGAGCAGGGCAGGCTGGCCAGTGGGGTACGCCTGGGCCAGGCTGGCTGACCCTCTAAGCTTTCACTCTCCTGGCCTACCCACTCCTTCCTGGTCCTTTTTCTTTCTCTCTCTTCTTCCTAGTTGTCTGTCCTCCGCCTCTCTCCCATTTAGTCCTCTTCCCCACCCGCCACACGGTTTATTTTTGCTCCTGGGCAGGAGCCCGGCTGGGAAGCAGTGCAGGACTCAGGCTGGACCTGCAGTGTCATCTGCTAGAGAGAGAACACTGAGTCTGCGCCACTGCCGTTCCCCTGACCCCCCTGCATCCTGCCACCCGAGATGCCACTCTCGGGCCTGGCTCAGAAACAGGTGTTCTGTGCCAGGCCTGGCTGTGGCCCGGGCATGAGATGTCTCACTTGGCATCAGCAGGTGGGGCCAATGGCAGCTTGAGGTCAAGGACAGGATGCCAGGGTAGAAGCTGCTCGGGCCTGGTGCCCCCGCTGCAGCTGTGCCACTGTACAGGGCAGTGGGGGCACCTGCCTCACACCAGATCTCTGTCCTCAGGCCACTTACCCGCGGCAGGGTTAGTGACCGCTCTGAGCCTCTGCTTCCGCTCAGTCCAGTGGGAATGACCCCTACCCCCAGGTCTGCTGCAAGAAGCTGCTGAGTCTGCAGTTCTGAAAAGGAAGCTCCCTGGGCCAGCGTGGCTGTTCCTTGGAGCAGTGGCTAAGCCACGGCACCCCCTGGACTCCACTTACCCCACCTCTGAGATGGCCCTCTCACACTTCTGTGAGGAATCAATGGGACGTCTCGAAATCACCGGTGACATGTAAACCTGCCAGCTATAGCCAGGCCACGGGATCTGAGCCACCTCGTGCTGACTGACTCATCTAGTTATGAGGGCCAGGCCCGATGGAGAGCAGGGCCTAGAGGGTGGGGATAGAGGGGCCTGCCACGTAGCTTTAGCCAGGTTACAAAAGCAGGCTTTTACCTTGCTGTTGGGATGTGTGTTATCCTGGGGCTGGGCCAGGCAGCATGTCTCCCAGCGAGCTGGTCAGTCAACACCCAGGAGGGACTTTCTTGGCAACCTAGCACTTAAGACTCTGCACTTCTGACATAGGAGACATGGGTTCAATCCCTGTTGAGAGAACTAGGCTCCCAAATACTGGGTGGCATGACCAAAAAAAAAAAAAAAAAATCCAACAAAGTGAGAGCCCCCTCCTGCTCAGTGGAGGCTCTGGTCTAGACAGTGCCAGGGACAGAGGGTCCTCCCGTGGCAGGAGAGAAGAGGGCTGCCTGGAGGGGTGACCCCACATCTGAGGCCCCAGGGAGCGTGGGGAGGTCTAGCTGACAGGAGGGCAGGCAGGGTGGCCAGCACAGCTGGGCGAGGTATTGCAGGTGGTAGGAGACAAAGCTGGTGGGCACACCTTCCACCTCTTGCTCGCCCCCAACCCTGCCCCAGGCAGGAATGCAGAAGAGCAGGCCCTTCTGCCTGCAAAGGAAAGGCTGAGACAGGGAATGGGAAGGAACATGGTGGGGCTTCAGAGAGTCCAGGGCTGGGATTTCCCAGTGCTTCCGTGGCTAAGACTCCATGCTCCCAATTCAGGGGTTCCCGGGTTCGATCCCTGGTTGGGGAACTTGATCCCATATGCTGTAACTAAAAGATCTCGCAGGCCATAACAAAGATTGATGACCCTGCATGCCGCAACTGAGACTTGACACAAACAAATAAAAATAAATATTAAAAAAAAAAAAGAGTCCAGGGTTGCTCAGAAGTCTGTCCCACAGTCAGGCTGGCAGACTCCTCCAGTCCCACCCTCTAGGCCCTGCTCTCCACCAGGCCTGGCCCTCGTAACTAGATGAGGCAGTCAACGTGAGGTGGTTCAGGTACTATGGCAGCCAGTAGGATGGCCAGTTGCCACCTAGGAGAACTTCAGGGAAGGCTTCCTGAAGGAGGTGGTGTTTAAGCTGGATTTCAAAAGTTTCCAGAACAAGCCTGATAGAGAGGGGCATTCCAGGCATGTGCAAAAGTAGGGAGCTAAGAGGTCGCAAACCATGCCCAGGGACATGCCAGCAGCTCCATAGAGCAGGCCCGTGGGGACTAGCCAGATAAGGCGATAAGCACTCCTTCAGGAGACCAGAGCCCTGTCCCAGGCCTGGCCCCACACTGAAAGGCCGTGGAGCTGGAGTTAGGGGGTCAGTTCAGTCCAGTCACTCAGTCATGTCTGACTCTTGGCGACCCCATGGACTGCAGCACGCCAGGCCTCCCTATCCATCACCAACTCTCAGAGTTTGCTCAAACTCACGTCCATCCTGTCAATGATACCATCCAGCCATCTCATCCTCTGTCATCCCCTTCTCCTGCCTTCAATCTTTCCCAGCATCAGGGTCTTTTCCAATGAGTCAGTTCTTCGCATCAGGTGGCCAAAGTATTGGAGCTTCAGTTCCGGCATCAGTCCTTCCAACGAACATTCAGGACTGATTTCCTTTAGGATTGATTGGTTTGATCTCCTTGCAGTCCAAGGAACTCTCAAGAGTCTTCTCCAACACCCCAGTTCAAAAGCATCAATTCTTCAGCACTCAGCTTTCCTTAAGGTCCAACTCTCATATCCACACATGACTACTGGAAAAACCATAGCTTTGAATAGATGGATCTTTGTCGGCAGAGTAATGTCTCTGCTTTTTAATATGCTATCTAGGTTGGTCACAGCTTTTCTTCCAAGAAGCAAGTGTCTTTTAGTTTCATGACTGCAGTCACCATCTGCAGTGATTTTGGAGCCCCCAAAAATAAAGTCTGTCACTGTTTCCATCATTTCCCCATCTATTTGCCATGAAGTGATGGGACTGGATGCCGTGATCTTAGTTTTTGAATGTTGAGTTTTAAGCCAGCTTTTTCACTCCTCTTTCACTTCCCACCAGTAAGTGGGAATGGACCTGCTGACTCCAAGGCTCCAGGCAGCCTATGTGTCAGATCCCAGGGCCTCAGCCTGGTCCTGTGGCTTCACCAGCCCCTCTTGCCAGCAGGGTGCCCCGCGGACCCATGGGCCTAGCACCTTTGACCTGCAGATGAAGTTTGTGTGTGGCCAGTGCTGGAGGAACGGGCAGGTGGTGGAGCCCGACAAGGACCTCAAGTACTGCAGCGCCAAGGCGCGGCACTGGTGAGCTGGGCGCCAGGCAGGGGCATGGGCAGTGGGGGAGGCGAGCGCCACGGGTGAGAAAGCCGGGCTCTCCGTGGAGGTCACACAGCCCGCTGTGTCCTGCAGCTGGACCAAGGAGCGGCGGGTCCTCCTGGTGATGTCCAAGGCCAAGAGGAAGTGGGTGTCGGTGCGGCCGCTGCCGTCCATTCGCAACTTCCCACAGCAATACGATGTGAGCACCAGGGTGGGGTAAATGGTGGCATCGGGGCTTCGGATGTGGGGCCATGAGGCCCAGGAGGGCTTGCCCGCTGGCTGGGACCATGACACCATCCAGCAGGACTCAGCAGACTCTCCCCACACACCCCCTACAGCTCTGCATCCACGCACAGAATGGCCGCAAGTGCCAGTACGTGGGAAACTGCTCCTTTGCACACAGCCCAGAGGAGAGGGACATGTGGACATTCATGAAGGAGAACAAGAGTGAGTGCGCGGGGTGGGGCGGCGGGGCTAACCCTGACACCCCCACTCAGCAGGCCCCAGGGCACCCACTGAACCTCACTTTGCTGCCAGGACCCTGCCCTGGGCCATGCCCTCTCTGGGTCTCCAGTGGACCAGTCAGCCCCACAGCTGGGGTCCTGCGGGGGTTGTGGGACAGAGTGGAGGCAGGATCCACACTCACCAGGCCCTCCGTCCCCTGTTGCCCACCAGTCCTGGACATGCAGCAGACCTATGACATGTGGCTGAAGAAACACAACCCTGGGAAGCCAGGGGAAGGGACACCCGTTGGTTCACGGGAAGGGGAAAAGCAGATCCAGATGCCCACGGACTACGCCGACATCATGGTAACTCCCGCCCTCAGGCTGGTCCCGCCTGACCTGACAGGGCCGAGGGGAGGGCTTCAGTCTCCCTGGGGAAGCGGTCTGGGCCGATGGGCAGGGAGTGGGCACCCACGGTGGCCGTGTTTCCAGATGGGGTACCACTGCTGGCTCTGCGGCAAGAACAGCAACAGCAAGAAGCAGTGGCAGCAGCACATCCAGTCCGAGAAGCATAAGGAAAAGGTGTTCACGTCCGACAGCGACACCAGCGGCTGGGCCTACCGCTTCCCCATGGGCGAGTTCCGGCTCTGTGACAGGTGCCCCCCGGAGAAGGGCTGGGCCAGGGGGCGGGGGTGGCAGGCTGTGGGGTGGCCGGCTCTGATTCTGCTTGGCCGGGAGGTGGCAGACGGGGGTGGCATGTCCAGAAACAGCCGCTCCTGGCGTGAGGACCGTGGCGGCATTGGAGGCAGGGACCGCTCCTCCCGGTGTGAGAGCCTCAGGAAGGCTGGGCCAGGCCCACTGTCCTGGCGCTGACCCTGCTGGGCGGTGGGGGAATGGGGACTTCTAGCCCCAGGCCAGGCAGCCTGTGGAGACCAGGGCACAGGGCTTGGGCAGTGAGCCTCCTGCTGCCCGCAGGCTCCAGAAGGGCAAGGCCTGCCCAGACGGGGACAAGTGCCGCTGCGCTCACGGGCAGGAGGAGCTCAACGAGTGGCTGGACCGGCGTGAGGTGCTGAAGCAGAAGCTGGCTAAGGCCCGCAAGGACATGCTCCTGTGCCCGCGGGACGACGACTTCGGCAAATACAACTTCCTGCTGCAGGAGGACGGGAACACCCCTGGTGCCGCCTCGGAGGCCCCCGCCACTGCCGCCAGCACCGGGGACTAGGCCAACTCTCAACCACGGGTGAAGTCCTAGGATCAGGGGCCAGGGGTGGGAACAGAGCGCCTGTTAGGAGGACTGGGGCCAGCCAGGGCTGGGGGTGGGGGGCATTGGGCAGCCCCCCACCCTGGGGCCCCATCCATCCTCCCTGCCCCCACCCCCACCACTGCCCCAGTGCATACCCAGGTGCACAAGCTGCAGCCCGCCCCCCTACCCCTCAGTCCCAGGGTTCTCATCCTACCGAAGCCCTGGGCAGTGCCTCCCTTCCCCGACCCCAGCTCTCCTGGTTGTGGAGGGAGGGGTCTGGCTGACCCCTCCAGCTTCAGCCTACAGCTTTAACTTCTGTCTGCTCCTCAAGGGGGCCCAATGCTCAGGGCTGGGGAGCCTGGGGTCCCCCACTTGAATCTGCAGCAGGAGGGTCCTTCTCCCTGCCCCACTCCCACCCCACCCTCCCCGCCCTGGGGGCAGATCAGGACACAACAAGGGCAGGAGGCCCCCAACTAGCTTTAAAACCCAGCCCCAGGACAGGACTGGAGACACTGCACAGGTCACTTAACCCTCTGGGGCCTCAGTTTCCCCTCTGGTTGGAAGAATGGGAGCTGCTGGACTTCATGGTCTCTGCAGCCTGACTGGGGAGCCTGGCTCTCTGCTCAGGCCATCCGCCCAGCCCTTCTTCTCTGTGGGCCACCGAATGTAGATTTTAGATCATCGGAGCCTTCAGAGATAACACATCCCCAACCCCCATTTTGCAGATAGAAAAACTGAGACCTAAGAGAGGGGAGTGATCTGCCCAGCATCCCCAGCACACGGCATGGCACAGCTGGGAAGCACATGTGGTCACAAGACTCAGGGCCCGTTACCAGCTGGAGCCTCCAGGCTCTCGGCAGGGATGTGAGAGTCTCTGAATCAGCAGCTGGGATCCCAAGCAGCCCCACCCATGGGTGGGTGATGTCCACGCCCTGTAGAGGGACAGTTCCCTCTGAGGATGGTGGGAAGGACTGTAACAGTGAAGGTCACTTCCCTATGGCCTGCTCCAGAGAGGCGGTACCTGGCAGGGCACACGTGGGCTCAGGTTCTGCAGAAGGTCCTGTGGGGAAGAGGACGGGGAGGGTGGGCAGTCATGGGACGTGGGGAGAAAGGAGACTTGACTGTGGGCACCATGGGCTGCAGCAGGATCGGACACAGCCCCTCTTTCTTAGGGACTCAGCAGAGTCCTTCCACCTTCTCCCCTCGACCCAGACATACAATTAGGACCGTCCATCCCAGCCGCTCCCTGATCCTGGCCCTGCCAGCTGCCTGGGACCCCAGCTGACCCCCAACTCCCACCTGCCCCCCAACCCCACCAAGCCCTCTCCCATCCCTCCTGTCTGATATGTCTGCGTGCATCCCCTCCTCTCCATCCCACCCTGCTGTGGGCAGACCCAGCCTCCCCCGGTTCCCTAGACATTCCAGAACGCCCCATACCATTGGCACAAGAGGTGGGGTCCCCCGGAAGGAGCCGAGGACCAAGGCTGGAGTCAGTGGTGGGGGGTGGGGGGTGAGACAGAGAGAATGGAATACCCTTTATTTCCCCTCAAACAAGAATTTCGAGTGTGCGACGATATGATGACGGGCACCCTGGGCTGCGGAGAACCCCGTTCTCGCCGCCACTGCCCGACCTCTTCCTGATAATTGTGGCATGCATCTTTCCTCTCCCTGCCCCTCCCCCTGGCGGGCCAGCACTGTGGAGTCTGGGTGCTGGTGGCACGGCTGGAAGGGGAGGAGAGACCTGAGGTGGGGGCCGTGGCCGTGAATGTTGATGACACTTGTTTTCCCTGATCCGTGCCGTTGCAGTCTGTCGTCACCAGCCTTGTTTTTAGTGTGTATATATGTCGCCCCCGTGATGCATATATACACAGGTATTAAATATATCGCTCTATATAATATTATATATGTGTGTGGTATCCGAGGAATCACTTCTAATGGTAAAGAATGAGGGCTAAAGATAAAGCATTTGGCCAGAAAACGCAGCCATCCTAGCATAATGAGGAGGGCTTTTCAGGGTCAGCAAGCCTTTTGCAAGGACTGAGGGACTGGAGCGGGGTGAGGGGGGCAGGTAATTTGGGCAGCAGGGGCAGAAGTGGTCCCTGCCTGGGCTCAGCTCTGCCTCAGAGCTTCCAGACCACCGCAGCTGAGTGGGGAGGGAGCATGCGTGCTCAGGGAAAGAAAAGGACTTGGTGTCTGTCTCCCACCTGAAGGAATAGGATTAGAATCCAGATTTTTCTTCTTCTCCAGCCTGTTATCCATGCAGAGGCCCCTGGGATGTTGGGGGCACCCTGGCCTGGCCAGAGCTGAATTCCCCCACGGGGTTCGAAGCGAGCCAGAGGCAGGCAGGGAGCAGGAGGTGGGGGTGGGAGACAGGCGCGCATTCTGAATGATGAGTGTGTTTATTTCAGTTGTGAACTGGACCGAGAGGCTCAGAGAGTTGGAGCGGGCTTGTGTCTCCCCCCCTGCCAGCAGGCAGGGACTAGACATCATGGCAGATATGGCAAAGGGGGGACAGGCACCCCTGATGTGAGGGTCCCTTAGGGATGGGGCCGGGAGGGAGGCTGCGTTTCTCAGGTGGGCAGTAATCAACTTAATGGTCCTTTAAAAATGTCTGTGTATTAAAAATTTAAGAATACCACACTTTAATATTAAATATTCATAAGGTCTAGTATCTTGATAATAATGTAGATGTTTTAATAACAATTTTTGTCCTTCTTAAAATAAAACTGAAAGAAACTTGCTTCTTTTAGCCTTTGTTCTAGAAAATAAACACATGCACTTTGACCTCTGTCCCCAAGGTGTCACTCCTGTTCCTCCCTTCCTAGGCTTGTGCCAGGGGGGCCTTGTGGGGTGGAGCTGGCCGGCTGGCTGGCACAGGGCATGACCCAGGGCATACATTCTGAGGGGTGAGGGGCAGAAGGTCTGTGTCCTCGTGCAAACAGGGCAGCCCGGCTGACCCCGGCTCACACGGAGCCTCGCTGGCGGGGACAAACTATGCTCGGTTTAAGTGGCCCCACAGGCCACCCTTTGCTGGCTCTCCTGCAGCCTGTCTGCTCGTGGCCTCTGTGTGGCGACTCCAGCGGTACCCACACTTCCCTGCTTTTACCCCGTGCTATCTCTGCGCCCTTTCTGGGGGTGGCTCATTCCAGAAAGGTAAGGGGCTCTGATGCGCTTTGGGACGTGAGCCTGCATGTGGCCTGGACTCCTCGGGGCCTGAGGGAGGTCTGAGTCACATGGGACCAGCTTCCTCATCTTTAAGAGACAGCAGACCGGATCAGGGATTCTGTCGGAGACACCTGTATCTGCCTGAGGCCCTTTTGCGAATCTCCTGGGTTGTGTGTGGCTGCAGGTGATGGAAGGGGTCCTAACGGGAGCGGCTATATACAACTGAAAGTAAGCTCTCACCAGACAATTTCAAACTACAGGGTGCAGTGGCTCCAGGGACAGAGGTCGAAGGTCTGTGAATCCTCTGAGGACAGGAATCTTCTGGGCTGAGTACTCAGGAGGGGCTCAGATGCTCGATAAATGACCAGATGAATAACAGGAGCAGCTGACTTGATGGAGCACCTTCTGCACTCCAGGCACCGTGGATACAGCAAGTCTGTCTCTATAGCAACCTCCACATTTGGAGTCCACATCTCAGCTCACAGAGGTTCCGTGAACGGTTCCAAGGACCCTCACAAAAGAGACCAAAAAGGAGGACCAGTGGCAACTGGGTGATCAGCAGGGTCCCTTCAGCACTGGCGTTCTGGGGTTCTTAGGACCCCTGGCTGCACTGTGAAAAACCAGAGGGGTATGGCAAGGCCCAGCTCCCAGGAGAAAATGCAGACCCATCCTCAGGCTGAAGAAATCGTTAATGTGCATCAGAACCCCCTTAAACTTAGAAAGTCAAAGAATAAGATAAGCAGTACTTCAGTGAACCTAGTGGACTAAATTCTTAAATTGTCATAAATTCCCCTAAATTCTCATCCAGTTCTCTCTTAGCTCAGGTTGGTAGATATTAGCTGAACACTTGTCCCATCTCAGATCTTACAGATACAAGACGATAGACAAAATGTGGCCTTCCGGGAATCCAGTCTGTGGGGAGAGATGGGCCTGTAGGGACGAGTGTAGGATGATGTGACAGACACAGTGGTGGGAGACACCAGGTGCCACGGAAGATACCACGTCCACGCTGGGGAGCTGGGGAGGGCTCCTGGGGGGAGGTGAGCCTGGACTTGAGCCTTAAAAATGTTAGATCATCGTAATCAATGTGTACTTATTGCTCTGCATCTTCCCTTTTCTTGGTTGCATTTCACACGTGCATCTCCACCTGTGACATGTAACTAGAATGTAACCTAGATATTTATGGTCAGTGGCTTCATTCATCAAGGTGCCCGAGCTGGCTTGAGCTAACTAATCCAGATATTGAATGTAGGCCCATTTCTGGCCTTTGGTCCTGTGATTAGGGCCCACCGTGCATACCGCCATCACCATGATTCCTCAACTTCTCCTTCCTGCCTCTGGGGAAGCTGATTATGAGAGGCTGCCTGGGCACCTAGGGGACTCTGCCCAAAAGGCATGCACATACAGCCCCCACCAGACAGCCATCAGACCTCTGAGCCAGGAGACCCAAGGCATGCCAGGACCCAGGAGATCCCAGCATGCCTGCCATGCGGGCCCCTCATGTCCAGGTTTCCGTGTGCTGCCCCTCCCCTGCCTCTGCCCCCCCCCCCCCCAGCCGCCTGACCCATCATCCAGTTGATGTGGCCCCTGTGTGAGCCGTGGGTGATGCTGCCATCTGGACACCTTGGCTGTGAGTGGGGGTGCCACGTGGACTGACTTTCCATGAAATGAAAATTCCCTAAGGGCAGGACCTTGCCTGGCCCGGTCTGTTATTTAGCTCTGAATTCCTTACAAGATCTAGGCTGGTGCCAGGTATGCAGTGAGCAATCATCCACAGTCTTAGAAGCTTCACACATTCGTGCATTGGAAGGGGTCTGACAGGAGCGAACTTCCGAGAATGAAATAACATGCAGCAGGCGGGCACATTTGAGACACGTAGGGACTTCCTGCTGCTTCCCAAATCACACTCTGTGGGCACCTGCCCACTCACTGTTGGGATAAAGCCAGTCTGGCACATGAAAGTGTTCGTGGGCCAAGAGACGGTTAATGCACTGACTTAGCCCCAGCCCCAGCCTGCGAGTCACAGGTCAAACTGAGGCAACCTGCACACCAGGTCCTCCACACTCTTCACCCCACCCCTCCGGGGTCACAGAGGCAAACGGAACTGGGAGGATAAATAAGAAATTAAATCTGTTATGAGGAAGGGGAACAGGGATGGAAATGAGATTCCTGAAGTGCACCTTTATCAAAAGCTTTGAGCTTTGAGCCACATTACTGTTTTTCGTATTCAATAATGGAAATTAATTTTTTTTTTTTGATGTCTGATCTTATTTATTTGTTACTCTTGGAACATCTCATTTTTGACTGGACTCAGACTTAGAAGTAGAAGCTCTCAGAGAGGACAGTCTCCGTCTCTTGGCAATCTGTTCCTGCTGTTTTTCTTTGGCCTCCTTCATTCTCTTGGCCAAAAGTTTAGCATATTCTGCAGCCTCTTTGTTTTTCTGAGTACGCTGTTTCTTCAGAGTACGCCGGCGTTTGTGTTGCAGAACTCGTGGAGTCACGAGACGCTGAATCTTGGGTGCTTTAATCCTAGGTTTCTTACCTTCTTTGTTTAGGGGCTTTCGCACAACATACTGGCGGACATCGTCTTCTTTAGAGAGATTGAAAAGTTTGCGAATTCTGCTAGCTCTTTTGGGACCCAGGCTATGAGGCACTGTAGTATCAGTGAGTCCAGGAATATCCTTCTCCCCTTTTTTCACGATGACCAAGTTGAGAACACTCAGATTGGCATCCACAATGCAACCCCGTATAGATTTGCGCTTTCTCTCTCCAGTCCTCCTTGGTCTGTAACAGGAATGCCCCTTACTCAGTAGCAGGCGAACTCGGCCACGGGTCAAGACACCCTGCTTCATGGGGAAACCCTGCTTATCGTTCCCGCCACTGATTCGGACCACATAACCCTTCCATTCTTCACCCAGAGCGTCAGCAGCAACTTCTGTGGCCATACGCTTCTCGTAGAAGGTACGAAGTTTTCGTTCATCGTCCACTTCAATGAGCTTCTGGCAGCCAGTGGCCGGGAAAGAGATGTTCAGCTTCATTCTGAAGTGGCCGACAGCCTCCAAGGCGCCACGAAAAAGAGGAAAATTAATTTTTAACTTGGGAAAAGAACAAATGGTTTGGGGAGGGCTATTAGGGTGGAAAGGGCTTCCCAGTGGCTCAGCAGTAAAGAATCCGCCAGCACAGGAGATGTGCTGGATCAGGAAGATCCCCTGGAGGAGGAAATGGCAACCCAATCCAGTACTCTTGCCTGGGAAATCCCATGGACAGAGGAGCCTGGCAGACTACAGTCCACAGAGTCACGAGAGTTGGACACAAATGATGAGTACCATGCATGCACGCACATGTTGGGGTGGAAAACAGGGTAATTGGGGAATAAGCTGGGGGCTGCTGGGAAAAGGAGAGGCTCAAAGGCATCCTGACATATCTGCTGTTTGGGCAAAATGGGATTTTGGAAAGTGGGGAAAGATGACATAGAAATCAGCTACAAGTGCAGGGAACCAAAGGCTTATTGCACGCAAACCGTAGTGTCAGAGACAGAACCAGAGCTGAAAGGAGCCGTGAAGGTCGCCACATTTGGTGTTTTTGGAGCTGAGACTCCAAAGAGCAGCACAGCTTGTTCAAGATGCTACATCAGTGTGTGGAGGGGAGGAGCCCGATGACCCCCCACCCCACCTCCCCTGCTCCGGCAAGGCTGGCATCGGTCTTTGTGGAGACTGCCATACAGAATCATGGCTTCAACCTCACATTCAAGTAAGTGGCCCAGGGACCACAGAGGCCAGTGTCCTGGTGAGAGGGCCAGGGAGGGGACTATGGCAAACAGCCAATTGCTGCCCAGGCCCCCAGGCTGGGGCAGAGGCTGAGAAGCAGGACGGTGTCCCAGGAAGAGCCTGAGCCAGTCTGCAGTGCCGCTCCCCTTCAGTGGCGCCTACTCTGCCTGCCTGCCAGTACCTGTCTGCTGGGCACCTGCCTCATCTCCCCTTCCCCTCCGTTCCCGAAGGCCAAAGGGATCTCAGGCTGCAGGTTTGTCCCTCCCCTTAGAAAAGCAGGCTTCAGGCTCTGCAGATAGCGTAAAGCCCCAATTACCCATGCTACACACATACCATGTGCCTTGCAGGGCACGTGTGCATGTACACAGCCTATAGACTAGCATCGAAACACGCCAACACCCCCTCGAGACTCACAAGCTCGCAGGTAAGTGCATGACGCCCACTCGTGGGCCTGTGCTCGCCAACACAGTACATCCTCGGTGCCCAGCTGCCTGCGGCCAGGGTCGCGGGTCCCCTCAGGGCCTGGCCTCTGGAGCTTCTCTGCCGAGTGGGCCTGAGTGTGCAGTGCACGCTTGCTGTGGGCGGGCAGCCAGCTCACTGTTCTCACCTGGCAGGCCCAGCTCTGGCTCCCAGCCTGGGGGAGAACTTCCCTTTGCAAAGTTAGATAACACCAGGCTCTCTGTCAGAGGATTGGCGCTGTGGCTCCACGTGCTGATGCTGGCACCGGGCCAGGCCCGCCCTGCCAGGCAGCGGGAAGGGAAGGCCTGGCTGCAGCCGGAGCTGGCAGGTGGCCGAGCCGGGGGTGGACGGGCGGGCCGGGGCCCGTGCTGCCCATTGGCTGCCTCGGGCTCC